GAATGGGAGGAAACACAAAGCACTCAACATTAATTAGTAGGTGGAAAACCATATGGTAGAATGCCAAGGTATGAGCTTAGAAACTATTCACACTGAGCACTCAACCCTGCTTCTCCTTTAGGCAAGTTATTTAACATCTCTGCATCTCGTATCTGTAATATCAGACAAGGGAAATCACCTTGGAAATTTCAGCTCAGGATTCAATGATATGACTTTTTGCACATCCTATGTTTCTCTGCTTAATGAAGTGGGGCTAAATTTAATTGATACATAAAATCCTATGCTCCCTAGAAAGCCTATGATGTCTAGCATTGAATAGACATTTATAAACTGTACCATTAAATCTACATTTCTACCCTGTAATGCGGGCATTGCCATTTTGGTTTCTTTATTTTTACTGATGAGAAAATGAACTTTTATACATGTCAAGCAACTGGGAAGTAGAGGGTTAAATTTAACCCCATTTTCTTGCAACCTCTTACCTTTATGACAGAGAAGCCCAAAGTTATGATAATTTTAAAATGATTAATTCCATTGCTTCTTCTCAGCATGTGCAAAATGAAGATATTCCAAAATATTTCCTTCAGTTATAAAAAATAAAATCAAGATTGAAATGAATTTTTGTTATGTTATAAATAGACAGAGCAAGAACTCATCACTTAGAAAGGTTAGAGATTGACAACTTCAGATGAAGAATAAAATGTCAATACAAGTTATAATTCTTCCAGTCCATTATTTTAATAAGCCTTGGGTTGACCTTGATAGAAAAATAATCATAATCCTTTAGTCAAGAAGAATATGTTAAAAGAATTGACCCTACAGCTCTAAATTGAAAATAATGCCTACAATTTCAAAGTCTGTCCTAACTTTAAAACGAAAGCCCCATCATCCTTTCTCAGTCTCAAAGTACCTATCCTTTCTGGACATTTTTGCTTCTTCTTACTGAACCATTTCATTTATTCTAGTGTGCTAAGAGATTATTAGAATTTCCTCACAGCAAATATATTCATGGATGACACCAGCGAGACCTTCTTGTCACTGTGATGTGCTTGAGATTCTTGTGCAGCTAAAGTTAGTTTTGAACGTGACTCTGTCACTTACAGATGAGTGTAACTGGCAAGCAGTTAATGAATGATTTCCTTGGTTACTAAAAATGAGATTAATTAAAATAGAAACAATAGTATTTACTCAGTGAGAAGTGAGTTTCATATTAGTTAATTCTTGTAACTCTGTGAAGTAGCTTTCAGTTCCTTCACTTTACAGATGACCACATTTAGACTTAAAGAGGTTAAGGAAACGGTCCGAGAATGTACAGCACAGCTAAAATTCAAGGCTTCGTCGTTATATTGCTAACATTTTCCTGCACAAGGCTATGTACAAATCACCATTTACATGCCATAGACTCATGTAATGCTCAGGGTTTTCAATGGAACTTAATGTTAGTTCTCATCTCTTTGTACCTACAGAGTAATATTTGCTTTTCCAGTTTAGATTTCCTATTTCATTTAATTACAGCTGGTAGGTGAAGAAACTGGGGAAATACGGACTGTTATACCAACAGGCATCACTGGATCTGTGCCTGGGATCCAGGCTTTCCTGCTTTACATTTGTCGCCTTTCCTACTCCAAACTCAGTCTGTCAAAAATCCTGTAGGAGGAGACTTTCACTTTTAATTTCTCTTCAGTCCCCCACCTGGCTGGGTTCTGATGAGCAGGGCATACGCTTATTTTCATAAATAGATGGGTGTCTTTATGTTATAGACCCTGATAAGACTACTAGATGTTTATTCTGTGATCTCCAGCATCATCCTGGGTGGAAAGTCACTCATAACAGGACTTTCTTGCCTTTCACAGTGACAAGCCTTAATGGAATCTGGCCTGCAGAGTGTCTGGGCTGTGTGAGACTGGTGTCAAAGCAAGTCCAAGCAAGTTCCCTGAAGTGCAACTTTTACAACATTGGGTAACTCAGAAACATTCCTTCAAGACACCACCCACCTTTTCCAGTGGGAATCTAATGAAATGATTCTCTTGTAACAGCATGGGGGGTTGTTAAGTTCAGCCTCTCAGAGAAAATTTTGGAAGAGTGAGTGGGTAGAGACAAGTAGAAGGGAATGAAAGGAAAGATGGAAAAATAAAAACTACCACTGCCACCAAAATATCCTTTTCAGGATGAGAGAGTACACCCTACAGCTGTTAGCACTGCTCAGCATTTTTTGCATATTTACATATAACAAGTATTTCCAAACAGCCTTGTGTTTATTTAAAATCCCCCACAGAGATGTCTGCTAAAGCTAAAGCTGTTGCTGTAGAAAGCTGTTTTCTTGAAGTTTGTTAAATTGTTTGCAAAATTTCCTCTCTCTGTCTCTGTATGTGTGTGTGTGTGTGCATGTGCATGTGCATGTGCATGTGCGTGTGTGTGTGTGTTGTAGGCTAAGCAGAAGAGCTACTGTCAAAAAGTACACTACAGAGAAATCTGGAAGAATCCTACTTTTCAGACAACACTCAAAACACAGTACTCACGTTATAAGACAAAGAACACCTTGTTAGTTGAAGCTAGCTTTTAAAAAATACTTTTGGTTCAATAATAAAAAGGAAACAGAAAACATCCCCAAGTGATCACTGGTTAGTCCTGAAGTTATCAAAATGGGATTTTCATAATTGCTGTTAACCCTAATCTTTGATTTAGAAGCATTTTCCCCAACTTTAGTGAGACATAATTGACAAATGAAAGCTGTATATATTCATGGTATATAAGATAATTAACATTGCACATACACATCGTGTACTGATTTTTGTAATCAAATTAATTAATATCTTCAACACCAAAAGTATTTGTTTATAAGAAAAATGATAATACTGGATTGATTTATCATGTAGCCATTTTCTTTGAAAATACAAAACTCCACAAAACCACACATAGTTCATTTTTGGATTAGAGAATTTTTAACAGAAGAAACGGAGTAGCTTACAGTTGTATTTTCCTTTGAGCAAGATCCAAAAGAAAGGGATAAAGTAACATGCTTAAAGGGGAACAGATTTTGTATTGTTTGGCAAGATGCTACCGAAATTTGTTGCTATGTTTGGCTCTCTGCAAGTGCCGCTTACACCAGTGTGAAGCAAAGATCAGTGACAGTGGTCTTCAATCAACTGTAGCTAAACTTGGTACGGAAAGTACAGGTGTGTTTGAGAGTGTCTCTGACAAACTCTCTTCCAATAAAAATCAGCTTATATATTGATTAGCAGCATTGTATAGGCTGGACACCTGCTTTACACCTTAAATCTATCAAAATATGTTTGTTTTCTGTAATTTTTTCTACTGCCTAACTGATAGCAGCTGAAATGATTCAATCCGGACAGAAGTATTAATGCCTTACCACATCAATGTGGTCATCTCTTGCTATTTAGTCAAATATGTACGGGCAGGTCAAATCAGATGCTTTGGTGACTTCTGGCATCACAGGATGGGCATATGTTCCCAAAAAAGGAAGCAAAACAGTTAAATGGTAGTTGGCTGTCCCCAGAGAAAACACGCTTTAGCTTGGAAGACTGCACTACGTGACCTGCTCTCCACTCCACTGAGTGCCTGGCGTACATAAATACCACACAGCCCCCTGGATTCCAAGGCATCACGATCACTGCATCATGCATTTGAAATAGCAACAGGACTTTCATTCATTTGCAGTTATTTAAGTGAATAAAGATAAATTCGCACGCAAATGTCTGTGCACATGTTGTCTTGCTAGTTATAATTTATGGTGCTGATAAAAAGCTATTAAAGTTCAATAATAAGCTTAATAGGTAGAATAATGCTCCCCTAATGATATTCATAGCTCAGTCCCTAGAACCGGTAAATACTGTATTTTATATGGAAACGAGGAGTTTGCAGATTAGTAATTAAGGATTATGACCTCAGGAGATTATCCCGAATTCTACATATATACTCAGGGTCATCACAAGAAGCCTTGGGTATGTGAGAAAAAGGCAGGAGAGGGTGAGAGTGATGCTCTGTGAAAAGAACTTGACCAGCGGTTACTGGCTTTGATGACAGAAAAAGGGCCATGAGTAAAGGGCTCTCGAAAGTGAATCAGTGAGGAGGCGGATTCTCCCTTGGAACATCCAGACAGCATGCAGCCTGTGCTTTGTAGCCCAGCAAGACAAAACTTCTAGTGAATGTCTGCTTCCCAGAGTGGTAAAATAAGTTTGTGTTATTTTAAGTGATTATATTTCTGTGTGACTGCTGTAATTTTACAGCAGTCACACAGAAATCTCAAATAATAATCTAGTATAAATATGGTGGACAGATAAGAAGGCTGTGGCACATTACTTCACCTGATATGCTGGAGGGTACTTATTTAAATACTGATTTGCAGACTTTTATATTTTTACATTTAAGATTCAGTTAATAAGAAAATAGTGAGCTCAGGTAGAGTATATGTCTACCTTCTTTCAAAATACAAGCTCTTGGAACTCTCCTTTCCTAGGGAATGTCTTCAATGTCAATAAACTGTAGAAAAGTTTTTGTTGGTTTGTTTTTACACAGTACTTATTATACCAAGTTCTGTGTCAATAAACATAAAATGAGTACATCTTTCCCAAAAGGTCAAGTGATTATCTTATGGGCACTATATTAAAACATTCTCTGTGGTAGTGCATGCTGTAATCCCTGCACTCTGCCAGTCTGAGGCAAGAGAATCACAAGTTGGAGGCGAGACTGGGGCAACATAATGACTCTCAAATAGAGTTGGGAATGCAGCTCAATGTGAAGGCCCTGGGTTCTAATCCCAGTACAGCACAAACACATACACACACACACACACACACACACACAAATTCTCAAGACACTTTTTCTTTTGTAATTGATATAAACCATTTCCCTTGCTCTTATGTTATAAATACTTGTTGAATAGTCTCCCCTCCACTGTAACATGACTCCAAAAATTAACCTCATAATTCAAAAAAATCTAAGATATAATTTTGAAAGATATTGCTAGTTTTAATAAATGAGGAAACAAAAATGTTTTATTTAATTCTCAAGAAATTCAGACAAAATCGAAATGCTACATTACATATACACATTAAATTCACATTGTTATTTATTGAACAATTGAAGATAGTGACATCTGTTTTTATTACAAAGTTTTCCATCATTTTGTGTTATTGGCACATAGTTATGAGTCCTGCACTTGAAGTGTAAATAGAAATAAAGTCTCTTCCCCAACCGCACAAAAACGATTTGTAATTATCTTATAAAACCAAAAGTCTTATGAATGATATATATTTTTGTTAATTACAAATGACAGCATAACTAAGATTAATTTTCCTTTCTGGAAATGTAAAATAAGGTAACATAATTGCTGGTAGAACAAATAAATCTCTAATTACATCATATTCCAGTGGGGTATGATAATGTTCCTATTGTTGATTTTCAGTTTAGTGGACCATGTGTCAAACATAAAGTATCACCCTGTATATCTTTTCTTTATGAAAGCATTGTACTTTATTTCGACTTATATGATGAAAACATGTTGAATCCAACTTTTCCCTTAATATATACACTTTAAAATGATACAAATACTGCACATGAAAACCTTCCCCTATATTGTATATCCTGAAGAAAACATATGGAATCGTATTTCTAAATCAGATAAAATATGCAAAATTTTACATATCCTAAGGAATTAAATCAAGTGTGTAAATAATCATTAACTTTTGTTCTGGCCACAGCATAGCAAAAAATTTACATCTCTATTAGTATGAAGAGACATTAGAAAAGTTCACATCTTATGCATGTAACAAAAAATAATCAAAGAATTGTGTGGTCTAAAAGAAATATTCTTAGGTCCAAATTTAGTAGTCCAGAAACAGGAAAATAATTAATGATAAATTTCTCTTTTTTAGAAGGAACCCTTGTTTACTTATTCAATGGTATTCGTAAGTTATGCTTAATTATAGTAGAATTTTGGGGATTGAATAAAGAGATTTCAGTCACATTTTTGGATCAAATTAAATTGACTGAAATGTCAAAAGAATATTAGTTTGATGTATTATTTGAAATCATAAAAATATTGTTAAAGCAAATGAAAAGTACAATGCTAATAAGAAAATCAAGATTATTTTTCAATAATGACTATCTCTATAGTTTGGAAATTCCCAGAAAGCACTAAAAAGAAAAAAATCCTGATGTAGCATTGCAATGTCTGTTCTGTGACAATCTCTGCGTTCAAGTTACCTGGTTAACATTTGCAGCTACTGAGACAGGTTGTCTTGCACGAATCACACATAACTCAAGCACCAGCTAAAACCCTAGCCTAATGTTTTTAAAATCACTTCAATAATAGCTTCAATGCTTTGATAATAGATTTTAAAAGTTCTTTAGCTTTTAAGTATTTTCAGAGAATAAACTCTAGTTTCCCTCTCAAGGCTTACATTTTCTGAAAGATTTATCTTTTATCCAGCAGGAAAGCAAGAAAAGAACAAAATGAAATTAAAAAATAAGTCCTCAGAGTCCTGGGTCCTGTACCTTACAGTTGGAGATGGGTCTGATTTTTGGTTCCACAGATTCTGCTGTCCTTCCCTTAGGTGGGAAGCTGATCCGTCAGAATTCTAACTGCTGTCAGTGCCCCTTTATGACTGCAAGGCACGCGAACTCTTTCCATCTTCAATAACTGACATAATGTCAACATCTGCTTCCAATAGAGTTGTTTCTTTTTTCTCAAGCAGAGTAAATCTGCTGACTGTGTTTGTAAAGGGTTAGGTTCTCCTCCCCTTTTCATGCAAAAGATTTTTCCACCATATTTTGCAACTTTTCCTCCAAAGAAAGTTAAAAAAAAAAAATAATTTCAAAAGATATGCTCTTATTTCAGGTTCCAAGGAAACCCAAAATATTTCTGGAAACACAAGTTTTGTTGTTTCATGACACTTCACTCTTAAGGTGTGAGACAATAATGTATAAGGTTCTGATGAATATATTTTTAATTGAAATATGGAAGAAAAGTCTAATTTGGGCCTACACATCACAAAAAAATCATTTTCCTTCAGGAATGGCATAAAAGGTCAGAGCAAATAAAGAAATTTGTACTTGCTCTCTCTTATCTAGTAAGAGAATAACCTTTGCAGTAATTTCTTATAGTAAAACAGGTCAAATCCATTTAGTTGCTGCACACATGGGTACAGAAAAATGAAGAGAAGGCAACATTCAGGAGCTCAACATAACTCTCTCTGTTTGTCTGTCTGTCTGTCTCTCTGACACACACACACAGACACACACGCACATATGTTATTTTCAACTTTCTCAGCCTGTTTGTTATGCATGATTATCCCTTTTTATCTGTGAGGTAAATTAATGAAGCCCCAAATCGCACATTAAACTGTAAGTCACTTAGAATTTAGAATTCAGAGAAAGCTTTCCATTCTCTTCGCATCAATTCATTCTGTTTCCCTACACATCTCCTAGTCAAAAATCTAATACATACAGTCCACTTTTGAACTTTTTATTCTACTGTTCCTGCTGGCTTAATCCAGCAAGTACTATTTGGAACACTCAATAAAGGACAGACTGCAGTCTCTTAAAAAGTAGTTTTTGATTTGCACTTTAAATTAGAAATACAGCATTAGCCCAGAGAGTAAACTCAAAAACTAGATTCTGTCATGTTCTTCAGGTTTTAGAGTAGAAATGGGTAGGTGTTATTTGCATAAGAAATATCGACTTCTTTTTAGAGGCATCTTTTGTGCTAGTACCTCGGAGTTTTTTGTTAAATGTTACAAAATTAAAGAAATCAATTCCTCAATTATGTGCAATATACTGGTTATCAATTTGTAAATCTTAGAGCAATTTTGGCCAATTTTGCATAACAAAATACAAATAACTTTAGAAAGAAAGAGAAAAGAGAAAAAAGTACCAGAAAAAGTAAAGACAGTTTGGCTTTCTTAAGAAGATGTACTGGTTTTTAAAAGGTATTGACGCTTCTTTCAAATTAACAGTGAAGGATCAATCATCCTATTAAGGGGTCTGATTTGCCAACACTTGTTGCTCTTTAGTTCCTCAGCACAAATTAGAGTAAATAGATTTCCTATTAATTCACAGATCTTTAAAGCTTGAATGAGGTTTAATTTGTAAAACAATCAAAGGTGAAGTGGCTCTCAGTGAAGTTAGAAAGGTAAGCAGAAGCCTTCCATAAAGCAATGTAGAAACCTCCAAGTCCAGTACTATAATTTTGATGTTAGGAAATTAGATCCACAGGGTGATGTAATTTTAAATGTAAAATAAGTTCAGGTCATTGTACTAAATTATAACTCATGCTCTCTTGTGATTCTGACAGTGCTGGTAATATGGTAATAGGGATGACAAACTATCATAAAGCAATGTACTTAATCCTTGGTACTTAGATTTTGATCCATATCTAGGCTTTCTCTCAAAGCTCACTTACTAATCCTTCTTGTGTACAGCAGAATTCAGATACTTTACTTTTCTGAGACCCCTAGAGCCAAGAAATATGTTATTTATATGTACAAGGAAGGACAGAGAACAAAATCTAGATGAAAGCTGAAGCCACTATTTGTTGCCTCTGTCTTTCAATCCAGTTTCGTGGAGAATAAGGAAAGAAACTAAAAGTTAATATATTCTCTTGTTGACTGAGAAAATCCACCTGAATAATCTGAATGGAGTATGACACTGATCTATCAGAAATTGCCGAAAAAGTGAATAGGTTCCAGGGGAAAAGGAAGCTAGCAATCCCCAGTGACACACCGCATCGGAACTGCTGAGTACTTGTTTTCGAACACTCAGGATAACTCCAGACAAAAATACATTTCATGAATTCACTGAACTCTGTGCTCCACTTATTTGGGCAAATTACAAAAAATTGTATTAAACCAAAGAATACACAAAAATGTATGCTATTTAGTAACTCCTTAGAAATTTGAGATTGTTGCTGAGTGAAGATACCTTAAATTTGAACCCCATACTGTTAAAGATGTACACATTCTGCTTAAGAAATTCTAGTTCAGAAGAAGCAAAGTATAGATTGACAAAAATGCAAAAGAGTATAGGTCTATAATTTGCAGGGTGCAGCATAAAAGTTAATGCATAAGATATAGCCAAGTTGAATATTTAAAAATTACCTGTGAACACTCTGCTTAAGCAGGTTGTCTTGTTCATGTCTAATATTCATGCACATGATGTTCACAATTAAAGCTGAAAAGCAGCACTTCACTGAACATTCTATTTTATGTGTATGGAGAAAGATGGGAGAAATTTAAGAAACTCATTATTCCCAAATCAAACAACTATGTTACACTACCTTTTTACATGACACATGCAGGTGAAAGAAGCAATGTACCTTATCTTTAAAGTCTTTAAATTATCAATTTAAAAACTTCATTTAAATCCTAAGGCCATGTCAAGTTGAATTCTCAACTGTTCAGTTTTAACCCAACTTCAGTAATTAGTAGAAGTTTAAATGCCAATACAAATTTTATTTTGACCTAAAATATTTTAAAGGATTAAAACAAAATGAAATTTATACCCAAACAGTGGAAGAAATAAAACTGTTTGCAAAATAGTATGTTTAAAAGGTTACATGGACAATATATTATTTTTCACTTTACAATGATGAGTGATATTATCAGACACAGCCTGGGCTTTTTTATGTGTCTAGTACCTTTCCAAATATTATGCCTTCAAATTCTCCAAGGAAAAAAAAAATCACTTTGAAAGAAACTTGCGACTTTGAAATTTGTATGAATGAATAATTACAAACAAGTAGAATAAGTCACTGGCACTCACAGGTAGTGTGATCAAACACATTTAGGTACAGTAGTTGTATATAAACTCTGGTTCCATTTATCAAAGTTGAATGAACTAAAAGGAGAATGATTATACTCTAGGTAAACTTTTCATCTCATTAAAAGTTAATGCAAACTTTCATTGCAGCCTCCACGTACTCTTTGAGAGAATCAAAGTAATGAGATATCCTTTAGTGTGGCCCTTTAAATTTTCCCTTTCCAAGCTATCCATGTAAGTCAAAACTAAGTGAGCTAAACGGAATTAAATCATCACTGAGATTTAATGAAAAAACAATACTGAACTGGTTTGCTATGGTATAGCTACTTTTACAGAAAGGAGAAAATATCACACACTTGAGGTAACCTAAAAAGCACAGACATGAGCATATCACAGACATTTTAAAGATAAGCAGTTTTTAAACATGTTGCCAGTGCTTCTCTGAGAGCAAGTTCTTTAAACAGAACTCAACAATGCTGACAATATTTTAAAAAGTACACCCCTCAAAAATAGCCCATCAATGCTAAACCAAACTTTCTATATTTCTACAAAAATAGATGCACACAGAGCTACAAATTTTTACTCCTGAAAGAATGAGCATTTCCCCTTGTGGTTCATCTTTTCCTGACATGATGGCTGGTTCCAAAAGAAAAATATAAAAAGTAAAAATAAAACAAAAATTAACCCAGGTACTGGTAAAGCCAAAAGGTAAAAAAGAAAGTCACACAGTTGACAAAGGCTCAGATGAGGGGGAAAAACAAACAATAATACTTTTCTTCAATGACCAGGACCCATGTTTCTTTCGCCAGAAAAGTTTCAAAACCAAAGTCAAGCGCCTGACGTATCCTCTTCTTCCATGTTACTTGTGTCTCCTTTGCAGACTGGAAAATCCTAATAGCAAATTCCCCGGTGGGTCCTTGGATTTAGGCTGCAACTTGACTTGCTAACACTGTGTTTCAGTACCATGGAGATTCCTTACTTTTGTCATGATGCTGTAGACCTAGAAAAGTGACAATAGGGAAAATGAAGAACAGGAGTACAGACAGCACTCACAAGTGTGTACACCCTGCACTGGGAGAGATGCTGAAAAGGCAACCCAGGCAGTGGTGAGAAATGACCCACCCCAGCCTCGTAGCGAACAACCTTTGTGATTTTCAAAAGTCAACCAATTTTTGGGTGAGGAAAATTCTATACTAGAACAGTGAGACTTGACAGTAAAAATGTCTTATTATGATTTTTCTTCTCCTGGAGTTTGAAGAGTAAACATAATATAATATAATAAATGAAAATTATGATTTATAGCTTCAAAAGGAATTGACATTAGAAAAAGGACATAGCCAGTCTACGAGGTATTTAGACAGTGCTTTAATTAATACTGTTACAACCATCATAAAGATACTTTAGGCCAAACAATGAAAAAATATGGTTTTTGTTTTGTTTTGTTTTGTTTTTTGTCTTTTTGAGGCAGGGTCTCACCATGCAGTTCAGCCTGGCCTTGAGCTCACTTTGCAGCCCAGGCTGGCCTCAAACTCTCAACGATCCTCCTGTCTCAGCCTTCCGAGTGTTAGGATTACAGGTGTGCACCACCATGCTGGGTGGTGTTTTCTTAAAAATGTATTCCACAATTGGAGTACTATGAATTCTGGTGATTGGTTCAACATAGTTAAAAATAGAGTATAATGTTGTCAATAAAACAGATATAGCTGATTCAGAGCTGATTGCACAAATCTTTACTCTACTTATTAATTTACATATTTTAATCCTCTCTTCCTCCAGAAAATATTTAGAATGACTCATAAAAATCCACACTACATAGTAGGAAAATAAAATTGAAGTAAATTTTAAAATAGTGTTAAAAAGATATATGGATATAGATTAATTCCAATTCAGAGCTAGATCTGAGAAATTTAACAAAGAAAAAATCTAGAAGATATGACTAATCTGAGTCTAACACAGTGAATTGATTAGTTTCTTGCTTAGGGAGTTAATATATTGCCTTCAGTTTATACCTACATGAAGCCATTTTCGTTTTTTTCTTTACAGCTTTACTGAAATATTGACATGTACAAATGTGTGCACTGAAAGAATATAATGAGGTGCTTTGGTAGCTAGATTGTGAAATACCTCAATCAAATTAGCACATCCATTACCTGTTTTAATTTCCTTAATTTTATATCTGAAGCATACTGTTTGGAAGAGCGGAGATCCTGACTATATGCAAAAGTCATTCACTTAAGTCAAATACTAAAACATGAAGCAAAACCTTTTAAACGCGAGTAGGTAGAAATGAGGCAGGGTGGCCACTCTCAGGCTGTCTTCCTAACCTTTCACCTGAAAGGGTTGCAAGTTTGGTCTGGATACTGGAAAAGGAACAGTTAAATTATCTGTATGGTTTAAAATTTTTATTACTACTAAAACAGGACACTTTTGTCCCACAACTTGTCACATAATTTTACCAAATCATAAATTGCATCATTACGAAGACAGACAGGATTGGCTGTGACCTGCAGTAGGATTGCAGACGTTGAGACAATGTACAAAGCAGTAAAATGGAGCGATCCACAAGCTCCTCGCAGACCGCAGCACCATGCCCTTCAGCCAGGCATTTCCCAAATGCCACAAAAATGACCTTGCCTTGATTTTTTTCTCAAGTGCACTGGTACAGCATTTTCTTTCTTTTCTTTTGTTCGTTCTTTCTTTCTTTCTTTCTTTCTTTCTTTCTTTCTTTCTTTCTTTCTTTTGTGTTTTGTTTTGTCTGGGGACCTTTAGGAGGTAGGAGAGCTTTATTGGAAATAATAGCTCTTACTTTCCAGGAGGGGCCCTGAGTGGGTGGCCCTGATATTATGGTTAGATGCAGAATCAACTCTTTTTCAATTTCAAAAGAAGGAGGATAAAAGAGGAGAAGGGGGAAGAAGAAGGAATGAGGGGATCTGGGTTGTATCAAGTCACTCTAGGTTTACTTCACTTATTTTCAAATAATTTTGTGGTTAGAATAATTTGCAACTTGCCATAGTCTGTGCTGGATGATTCTTAAAATCTAAACCACCTTTACTGACAATCTGCTGACTACATAAACATTTTTTTCATTATTGAAACGTCTCATCTTGTGCATGACTCAGTATTTCCACATTTGAAGACTGCATCAATCCATAGAATGTCAGCACTGCAAGTCATGAATATTGCTGCCGTCATCAAGCGACTGCAGTGTCTTTTCTTCCTTTTAAACAGACGTGATCCCTACTTTGCCTGGCAATGACATATGACTTCTTCACCACCAGGTTAGCCTTTTGCCATAGACAACTATTGCATTACTTAACATAGCTCCAAATTTCTCATCCAGAAGGACAAAAGTCGTTCTCTTGTGATAAACTCATCTATTCATTTTTTTTGTTTATGTCTCATCATTATTGTAAATGTAAATCTTAAAAAAAAAAAACAATTCATTCATGGCCTGAAAGGTACTGAATGTCTCCTGGGTCCTGTGACTTAGCTTGTTCTTGGTAGTGGGACATAAAATAAGACTTCTCTTTAATTACTAGGCTTTTATATCCATACATCCCAAAGTAAGTGTGAGTAATGCACAGAAAAGGAGCAACCAGAAACATAAGATCCTGCTAATAAACTGCAACAGAAAAGCAGGGCTACAGCCTTTCTTGTTAAAGTAACTGGTAAGGGTAGAGCAGGAAATTTATAAACAGTCACCCGGTGCATTTAGTTTTCCCCAGCAAGAATGAGGCAGGGCAAGGTTGTTAAGCCATGATGCTTAGGTGGGCTACATACAGATGCTTTCTGCAAATTTCTTTTCCAAAATGGAGTCCATCCTACCGCATGTATTGCTCCCACTTAGGCTTTTTATTTTTACTTTCTCACTTTTTTAACTCCTTATAATGCTGAGGCTAGCTGTCCAAAATCACATATGTTCACTTTCTTTATATTAGTAATTCTGTTTTAGTTTTTTTTTTTTAGTTTATTCTGTAAGTTTTCTACAGAAGAGAAAATAAACATCATAGAAATGACTGTAGCGCTTTCTTTCTTAATTCTGCCTGAATATGCCAGACTCTGTGGAATGTGTTCTACATGAAGTCTCCATGTAGTTCTCCCAAACACTGTAGAAAAATTATTTCCAAATGAGAATACTGAAATTAAGCGAAGTTATCCAACTATAAGTAGGAGAGGTGGTGTGAGATCAGAGTCAGGAGTCAGCCACAAGACATATGCTCACCTCTGCAGACTGTGCTGACTACAGGCTGTGGTGCTGGCACGTATCACAACAAATCCTCTCTCAAAATCAATTCCAGGAAAAGTTAACAGATTTTTCTCACATTCTTTTTACATTATTTAGAAACACAGAACTGATATCATGATTAACATAATAATTTTTAGTGATTTTTTTACCAACTAGACATCGGACATTTTTTCTAAAATACAATAAATGATTACACAGAAGTTTGTTTCACTTCAGATGAAGACCAGCAGTATAAAAGGATGACATTTGAACTGACTTTTTTATGTGTATCTTTTTGGCAGGGGTACCAGGAATCAAACTCACAACTTAGTGCTGTCTGCAAACGCTGTGCTGCTGAGCTATATCCCCAGGTCCTTTAGGTGCATCTTTAATGTAACCAGTCCCACCCGACTTCCCTGGTATGCACTTTGAAAACAGCCTGGTCATTTGATTCATGTCTGTTTATCAGAAATGGACCAAGGAACAAAGTCATGAAAATACTGGCTTCAGAGTCTGAGTTTCATATTCAGTTAGGAGAAAAGCTTGAGAGAAAGATGAAAACTCATGATCACATCCCTTCACTCCAATTCCAGCAGCAACGCTACCTGATCATGAATAGAAAAGGAAAAAATCCAGACCCAAAAAAAGAAATGTGATAATACTTAGGGGCAAGAAAAATCTTGGTCAAGGAATGATTTCTTTTCAAAACTAGAAGCTGACAGCTTTAATTCGAGAGGCTGCTAAAACAAAATGCCGTAAACTAGCTTAAAAACAACAGAAATTCACTACCCCAAATCAGGCGGCTGGGAACATCTACCACCAAGCTGCCAGCAGATCAGTGTCTAGTGAGGACTAGCTTTCTGCTTCAAAGAAGGAAAATAAGTATCCTCATAAACTGGAAGACAGCGGGGGTTTCTCTCAGGCCTCTATATAAATAAGGATTCCAGTCCCACTCCTGAGGGTTCTGTCTCATGATCTAACCATCTCCCAAAGACTCCACTTTCTAAAACCATCACCTTAGGAGGAAGGCTTTCAATGTAAGAATTTTGGAGGGGATGCATACTTCTGGATCATAGCACTGGCTATACATAACACGGCATCATTACTGGAAATCATCTTCCCAGTCATGGAAAAATCATACTCAGTTGAGATTTTAGGAGGCAGCAGTTGTATGTATTCTCCTCTTCTGAAAGGCTATGGAAATAAGGAAGTACAATACCAACAGGGTGCGTCTAGTATGAAGACCTGGAGACTTCCTCCCTCCCTAGCTTTGCCCAGACTCTTAAGTGTTTTGTGAAAAGAGTTGACTCTGAGAGAATTTTGGTGGGCCTGTAAGCATGTGCCGTGGCCACCACTAGGCACCCCACAGTGGAAGCTGCACCTCAGAAGAATGCCTTCTAGGGATTACAAACACTAAGAAGTTGCACTCAGGCCAGATTTTAAGGTAACACCACACCGAGAATGCACAGAGAAACAGCCGTGGCAGGGAGGTTCACTTGGGAACAGGGCCAGAAATAAAATGACAGCATTAAGGAACATCGACCTGTTCAGTGCCAAGTTTCCTGATGTGAAGAGTATTTTAGAAATACAAGGGCAACCTCAAGGAGCGTGCAAGGGAGAATTTGAAAAGAGGTTTCAACATTAAATAGGATTTTGTTTCAAATTGCCAGCAGTAGGGATATCATTGGATTGATAATTCCAGTAACCAGGATAAATAAGGTGGAGTTTTCTATCACATTATTTCTATTATTATTTAGAAACAACAACTAATACAT